CTAATAATAAAAATCAGCCCAAACACCTAAATCCGCATTAAATTCTTGTTCTACGATAACGGTTGAAACCGACATTGATAGCACTTGCTTAGCCATCTTTGATAAAATTGGGAACATCCTTTTTTCTTCTTCCACCACTTTAGAATGTCAAAGTCACCCCCTTCTTCATAATCAACATGATATGTTAGGTATAAAGTAAGCTCGTTAACTGATTTTTGTTCAACAACGGGAGTTGTTTTACTTTTTTTCATAAGATTCTCAAATGTAGATTTAAAAAATGATTTTCCTTTAGATGAAAATGTTCGTGTCGGGGGAGGGGTGTGTCGACATATTGTGCATGAAACTCATTAAATAATTGATACAATACATTACTAACCTCGTTGTATTCTGGTTTAGGATCTATGTGGTTATCGTCATACATAGCCGGTTCACCAAAAAAAGAAGCATAATAGAAGTCTAGACATTTTGATAAAACAACAAGTCTATAACGAGGATCAAGAATAAATGCAATACCATAAATATGTGGAATATGGTTGTAATATTTTAAAAACTTTTCTTGCATGAAATCACAAAAATAACTAACGTAAGCGGCATTAGAAAATTCATTGAAAGCACCGACGAGATTAACAGTTTCACGATAAAATTGGTTTGATGTAGGTTTATAAACATGACTGAAAGTTTCAGTTGCATTAAAAAAATATACCAAAATATTCACAATTTTTTCGCAAGTGTCGATGTCAACCAAGTTTATAATATAGTTTTGACACTGTTTTAAAAAAGCAGGAAAATGTATTTTATATCTAATAAGTACTTTAATTAACTTATACGTACTATTCTAGCGAATAGACAAATCTTTAGGAAAAGCAACATATTTAACATTTCTTTCCCTCAAATAATTTTGCCATTGTAATATAAGTTGGCCACTCCCCCAAATAAGTCTAATTCCCCCCTTCACTATCTCCATAGCATTTCCTAACGCGGCTAGCCCGTCCTTCACACATAAATTAAGAATATGACCTGCACATCGTTGATGAAGAAACCTACCCATCAAAGTAGTATAGAACCACACAATTCACGCAATCTAGGTATAGCAGTAGTATTATTAGAAGCGTTATCAAAACCCATAGCAAAAACCATATCAATCAAATTATACTCAATTAAAATACGTTTAATGACAATATAAATATTATCAGCGGTGTGTCGATCATTAAATGAACGAAAAGCAATAGCACGCTTATGCATTTCCCGATCATCAATATAATGTGCAATGACACCCAAATAATGTATATGATGATAAGTATCCTCCCATATATCACTACAAATACTAACACGCCCATCAAAGTTTGCGAAAATTTTTTGTAATCGAGTCTAATCCAAACCATAAAGTCTTATAACTTCTTTTTTAATCGTTTTGCGACTATAACCTCTAAATTGAGGATTTAAAGCACAATGAACATAATCTCTTAAAGAAACACTTTCAGAAAAATATAAGGCAAATTTTCTTCAACAATTAAGTTAGCCATACCACTCAAATGTTTAGAAATATCATATGAGAAATTACCAAATGGTTGGTTATTTGCAAACCTTGATATTTGAGTTTGCTTCCCCTTGCCTTTGTCTAATTCCGCCCACTCCACGATGTGTTTGGACTAAATATGCCTTGCCGCGCTCCCGTATCCTTGTGAAATTCCCAAGGAAAAATCTTTCTTGCACCACTTGCAAGTTGCCCACCAATTTTCGGTCTCCGGGTCCTTCTACTTATCAAAATTATTTTCCATAAGAGCAGATTTACTTTTCTTCTTACCGGCGGGTTGGGATGAAGCTGGCTCGTCGTCGTTGTGGGTGTCATCGTCCGGGGTGTGCCGTCACCCTCGGCCTCCTCCTCTGCATCCTCATCCTCGAGCTCTTCTTCGTCAATGGTCGGGATGTCTTGTTGTTGGAAAAAGCGCCCATCTTGTTGGGACAATAGGTTTTGTAGTTGCTCGTCGGACATCGCCATTCCATCTCTCCGTTGGTAATCCGTTTCAAAATCATCTCGGCTTTGAGAAGAAGACCTGATATGTCCATTACCTTTGCGCGAATGAGGATGATTCTTCGCAATCTCCTTCCTTCGGTTTTGACTGGGGTTACCATTATCAACCGAATGTTTGCCACGTTGCATTTTAAAAATGTAACAAATATTAAATTGCAACAAATATGTTAATATGAGTACAAAAGTAATGCAACTAATAACAAATATTATAAGTTTGATACGAGAATGTAAGTAATATTATAATTTTCTAGTAAAATTTAACCAAATGTTTTAGTAAATACTTTCAATCTAACAAGTGTAATAGTTTAATTAACTAAAATCCCAACTATTTTAATAAATATTTCAATCAAACAAATGTAGTTAATTAACTAAAATTCCAACTATTTTAATTAATACTTCAATCTAACAAGTGTAGTTTAATGATATAAAATTCGAACTACTTTTAAATAAGAATAAAAATCGAACTACTGTTTTTTAAAAATAAATTAAAATTCGAACTATATTTTTTATTAAAATTGAACAATTAAATAATGAACTACTATAATGGCAAATGTAACAATTAAGTGAATTAAGTAATGACCTACTATAATGGCAAACAATTAAGTGAATTAAGTAATGAACTACTATAATGGCAAATGTAACAATTAAGTGAATTACCTAATGAACTACTATAATGTGTAATTGTGTATACTATAATGTGTATAAGTAATATTATTAAGTAATAAAATTAAGTATAACTAATAAATTACAGTTAAGTGAATTTAACTAATATTAATTAAAGTATAACTACTATATAATATATTGCGTATAATATACAATATATAAGTATACTGCTATAATATGAGTAGTACACTTATATTTAATACTTGAATATATATATATATATATACTTTAATATATTAATTATATGTAATATAAGTAAATAAGTAAAAAACAAGTATATAATAAGTAGATATTCAGTATATAATATATGTATTTATAGGTAGATAATTCGAACTATATTAGTAGATATAATAATAATTGTATAACTAATATATAATATAATGTTTAGAGTATACTATATAATATAAAATAATATAAGTATAATATACTTAATATAAGTAGATAAATAATATATAACTAATATAAGTGGATAATATAATTGTATAAACAGTAAAATAGATGTATGGAGAATAAGAGAATTTTAGAAGATGAAGATGGAGATGATTAAGAGTATTAGAGAGTAGAGAGTAGGAAGATTAGAGAAGGGGTGTAAAAAAATGTTAGAAAATAGGTGTATTTATAGAACTTTTTGTACCCCCACCCCCACCCCAAACCCACAGGATCCTCCCTGGTGGCACCCAACGGCTATATAGCTATTTGGGGGGTTTTCTCCAAAGGCTAGGAGAGCCTATTTGATTTTTTAAAATTTATTTTTTTAAAAAAAATTATAGCCGTTAGGCCCGAACTGGGCCGGGCCGGGCCGGTTCAGCTTTTGCGCATCTCAAAACCGCCCCCCGTATAACCCCCGGGTCGGGCCCAGACCCGGTACCAGGACCGGTTGACCGGGCTGGTCCGGTCCCACACAGTAACTTGCAGGCCGGTTCACGGGCCGGTCGGCCCGGACCCGGTTCACCACTAGTTACTATCGCTAACGGACGACCGCCACGACCATAGTAACACATTGATTTTGGACAATGATTATGATTAATAGATGCGATGAACACATAAGTTATTAAGACTTATTAATGATTATGTCCCTATTTATAGACTTATTAGTTTTTTTTAGTAATGGCGTATTATTTAGATATTTTATTGCGATACGAGAGATCTATGTTATAAGTGTCAATATTGTTTGAAGTTTTTATCACTTTTAGTCCTTCGATAACTATGTCAGTAACACCTTTGGTATTCGACTTTAGATTTCTTCATTTTTTGGTTTTGGACTACTATGTGAAAGACACGTGTGCTACCTGTTTTTAAAATTTTATATATTTAGTCCTTTCACTTTCATAAAAGAGACATTTTTTTTTATCTTTCAATCACGGTTATGTGAGAGTTTTAGTCCATCACTTATTGTGCAAAAATCACAATGAAAGTGTTAAAAATGTACATTTGACAATGCTCAAAGGACAATGTGTGGGAAATTTGAAGCCCATGATTAAAAGTGTTTTTGACGCAACAGTCGAAGGACGAAAATTGAAAAACTTAAAAGTCGAATTTAAAGTATCAATGAAACAATAGTGGGGAGACATACATGCATTATGTATATATGTTCTTTTTATTATATTACACTAGAATAATCATTTTCTTTAACAATAATTTATCCCTCATTAACAAGAAGAGCCTTTTGGTGACCTTATTTCTCGGTTTATCAATCTTATCACATAATTTTTTGGTCAAACACGTAATTTTTGATTTCGCACGCTAAATCGTGTAATACACAAAATAAGTAAGGTTGAAGGCACTTTTGTGGCTGCATTGCCTGGAATTATTGTAAATGGTCATCTTAGCTATTTTTCATATAATTTTTTATTTGTTTTATTAATAAAATATAATTTATTTTTTCTCATAAATTAGAAGAATCAACCAATCCAGCGTCATCGTTCAGAATTTCATAAGTTGCAACAGAATTATCCGATTTACCCAATTCCAGTGTTATCAAATGGGTTTGAAGTATTTTATTTTGTAAAAACCACTCCCTCCATCCAGTTAAGAATTTCTATTTTTCCTTTTCGAGAAATCATACTAAGATTGTCACGTACCAAATTTAATAAATTTTGTGTGACTCTAAATCATTTGTATTTTATTCTTACTTTTTAATTCAATATCAATCATATAAAGTTCATTTTCGTGATAATTGTGTCTCCTCCTCATATCTTAATGTTAGTGGGACGAAGTTAGTACAAGAATCCCAAGCACGGGTACATATTGGTTTAAGATAAAATCTCTAATTAACAAAACCTCTACTCCATATCACTCCTTTATCCCTAAATAAAAGTTTTGTTTCCTTTTCGAATCATCCCTAATTAACAATTCACTTTTCTTATTTGGTGAACAAAATGATGCAAAATAGTGTCAAACAATAATGTCTAAACATTACAAACAAGATTACATTCCTAAAACGTGTGTAAAAAGAAGGGACCTTCTGTAGTTCTTTATGGACTAGGACGGAGGGAGTAAAATGCAAGGACAAAGGAGTATCATTTGTAATCAGTCTGTCATCTTATCCTTTTAAATCCAGAGGAAGAAACAGTTCGATACTTCGATTCTAGATTGCAGAGGAAGAAACATGGAGAAAATACAGCACAGCCAGATACATGTAAACGGAATCAATATGCACGTTGCTGAAGTAGGCCAGGGGCCGGCTATCCTATTTCTCCACGGCTTCCCGGAGCTGTGGTACACGTGGCGCCACCAGATGCTCGCCCTCTCCGCCAAGGGCTACCGCGCCATAGCTCCCGACCTTCGCGGCTATGGAGACACTGACGCGCCGTCTTCTGCTTCCAGCTACACCTTTCTCCACATCATCGGCGACCTAGTCGCTCTGCTTGATTCGTTAAGTCTCGAGAAGGTCTTCCTTGTCGGTCATGACTGGGGTGCCTATATGGCCTGGAATTTCTGCTTGCTTCGTCCGGATAGAATCAAGGCACTAGTCAATTTGAGCGTTGCTTTCAGTCCGAGGAACCCTACACGGAAACCGGTTGGATCTATGCGCTCGCTGTTTGGTGAGGATTACTATATCTGCAGATTTCAGGTACTTAAGGAAAAGTTGAAGACAACAATTATTGCTTTGTATTAATTTCCTACAGATATGGATTCCAAATTTAAGAGATTCAGTTTCCTACAGATATGGGTTCCAAATGTTAGGCATCTCTCTGTATTAATCAACTTATGATTGTATAAGTATGCTGTTGGAAATTTACAAAACAAGGTATTATCTTCATAGATCAATCGCTACTATGATCCTAATTTCTCTCTTTTCATTATTGAGTATTTGTAGGAACCTGGAGAAGCAGAAGAAGAATTTGATCGTGCTGGTGCTGATAGAATAATTAACAAATTCTTAACATATCGTAATCCAGGTCTGCTTCGAGTCCCTAAAAGTAAAGGGTTTGGGGGCTCAGCTGATCAACCAATAAACAAGCCTTCCTGGATGTCTGAAGAAGATGTGAACTATTACGTGAGCAAGTTCCGCCAAACAGGTTTCACTGGTGGATTGAACTACTACAGAGCTATTGATATGTGAGTGTTAACTTAAGTTTCAAGATGGTTGACTGATGATAAAGAAATGATTCTTGACAATGTTTTAATTTACATTAAGAATTAAAATATACCCCGTAGTACATACTTAGAAATTGTTCTAAAAATTCTGTCCAAGTGCAAAAACAGAGAATAAATATGATAAAAGTTTGATAAAAGGGAAATAAATTAGTAACTTAGAGAGGAGTATCCGGTAAGGGGATTATGGATTATTCCACCCTACTTAAATTTTATGAATAAACTGATCACTTACTCCATACTCTACAGCTCCTGAATATGGTTGTGGTCTCTTAACCATACATTGATTGATACCTATATAGATGTTTCGGTTTGTGTTGATGTATCAATTGAGTCAATTAATAAATTCTCTTAGAGCCCTTTAGTAAGAGTCATGTGGCTGAATGTGCATAATTTTCTACGAGGCAAAACGTTTGGTATACAATATTGCAACCATCAGAAATTATTATTTTTGAGAAATAAGCAAAATAAGTTGAATCAAAACTACTAAATGGCCTGGGCTCTTTATTTTAATATATAAAATCGCAAAAGTCAATTATGATAGATCTGTAAGTGTCGTCCCCTGATGTAATAACAAAAGCTATCACATCTAACTTGCTTGTGATTTTTTGGCACATTATATGGACACGGACATCGTTTGATCAGCCATGACTTTTTTGTGCGTGTAATTAACATTGTGTCAATCTGGATTCTGTATTTGGGAATATAGGATGATAAGTCCCTTGCTATTCTAGCTGTAATATCATTTTGTTTTAACTGATGGATGCAGAAATTGGGAGCTGATGGCACCATGGACTGGTGTGCAGATAAAGGTTCCAGTTAAATTTTTGGTCGGAGATCTTGACCTGACCTATAACACTCCTGGTGTGAAGGACTACATAAACAATGGTGGGTTCAAAAGAGACGTTCCATTTCTGCAGGAGGTGGTTATAATGGAAGGGGTGGGACACTTCTGCAATGAGGAAAAACCAGAAGATATTAATCTGCACATATATGAGTTCATACAAAAGTTTGCCTAGCTAAATGCTTTTGCAAATGACATCTCTCTTCTTTGGCGTTTCCCATTATTGAATAAGGACTACTCTTACACGAGCTGTGTCACATGCCAAATAAGTATTACTCCCTCCATCTCAAATCTCAAATTGATAGTCCTATACTCTTTGCGTAGAAATTAGGAATGTGGGATAAGGTTACCCAACTACTGTTTATATAATGTTACATCTTTTAAAAATTCTAATGTAAGGTTAAAATCGACATTTTAAATATGGACTTAACCCAAAATGGAAATAGGAATATCAATTTGGGAGACTTAAAAGGGAAATGACCTTGAGATGGAGTTTGATAATTTTCCTTGTATTGTATTGTTATATTGAAATAGAATAAAATGCATGTATGATAAGGTAAAGTAAAAAAAACATTTATATCTGTTCCTATGAGAAATACGAACTTAAGATCACACAAAAATCCCAACTCAAAGAAAAAGTTCACAATGAAAAGATCTGGAAAGGCAACACTTGAATTATTTAAGATTTTAAGATGTTATAAGTTATAACTGCTGCAGGAAGACAGTCTTTAAGAATTAATCAATTTTGTTCAAAAAAGTTGAGTTCTCAACCTTAAGGTTTCCTCATGCTCTAACCCAATAGAACATACGAGAGGTTGTATTTATGGTCACTTAACTAACCACAGATCTTCATTGCATGTTGTATAAGGATGGCGAATTAGCTAATCACAGAGGCTAGATAAGTGCACATTGTGATAATGTGATTTGTGTATAAGGAGTACTCTAACATTGAGATATTACTCCTACACAATTGCTTGTGGGACTCGATCTTGAGTCTCTTATTCCAAATTTGACTCTTGCGGGTATCATGTACGGGAGTGTTTGCATTTACTTTGCATTTACTTCTAAAAAAAAGTGCTTCCTGGCTTTTAACTTAAAATAAGTTAAAAAGAGTGCTTGCAACTTCCAACTTTTACTTAAAAAAAGCACTTTAAAGTTAAAAGTTAAAAGCTGGTATATACCAACTTCAAACTGTTTTTAGGCATTTATGTAAATAAGTCAAACTTTTAGGATTATTCTAATGCCAAAAAAATTGATTAAACCAACATTACCCCTCTGTCCCACAAACCTGCATGCTGCCCCCCCCCCCCCCCCCACCCCTCGATGCAACAAGCATCTTCCGGCCAAGCTATTACCAGCAGACAACCAAAATTTAAAACCAGCAACATGAAGGAGAAGCTAAGAGATTCTTTCAAATCTGATTTTCAAACCAATCAACTATTGGAAGGCTACGACCAGATTTGCACATAGAAGACTTCAATGGACAAAAAATTGTGGAGCTCTCACTGGCGATGCTTGCGTCGGGTACTGTTACAGTGCTACCGACGATTGGGTTTTCCGATGGCAGTGATGGCTTTAGTGGTGGTGATGGCTTTCCTGCCGGCGATTTGGTCTTCCGATAATCCGATGCATATGTTGTCTTTCGATGCATCTGTTGATGGAGTTTACAAAATACTACTGTATGTATTATTAAGGGTGTATATGTAATTTATCAAAATATTATATCCCAAATCACTTTTTTATCAAACACTCCAACTTTTACATTTCAACAAAAATCACTTCTATTCCCAAACACTATATACTTTTTACTTTAAATCACTTTTCCAATAATTTCTTAAAAAAATCATTTTTTAAAAGCACAAGTAATTGCAAACACTCTCTACGTGACTGTCACTAACACGTATTATATTAGATTTTTAGATAAATGTTGTCTACTAGTAATTTTTTTAACAGAAGAAGTAACACAATTCAGCCGATTTTGCTCATGACTTACAAACCTTATTTACAAACCAATAAGATCGAGAACCACATAGTAGCAACAAATCTAGCAATAAACCTATGTCCTGTCGACACAACCTTGCTACGACAAAACACTGCATTCGTATCTAATTCGTGTGGCAAAAAAAGAAATGAAATGACATATGTCAACATTTGAGCTATGGGGGTGATGTTCACCCTCCAAGGAGGGGTGAACAAAATTGCACTCCTGCAATGTTATTAACAAAGTGAAAACTCCATGATTTTTTTAGAAAGATATCATCGCATAAACATTTATCTACAATAGAATATGATTTTTTTTCTTCAAAATATGTGTAAAAATAAGGTGATTTCTTTAAATTGGATTGTTATTTTTTAATTTAAAATAGGAAAAATTGATAGTAATAATCCCAACTATGGTTGGCCCTCTTATAATAATCCCAACTATCGATTATTTCAGAATAATCCCAACTTTAGGGACCTTCCGCCAATAATGGTCCCTTTAAATAAATTCTTGTAGTTTCTAGAGTGGATGAGGAGAGATATAACAAGTAATCCCTATAAGTAATCCCAACTTTTAATTTTTATACTTGATTTCTATTTAAAATTCACTTTTTGAGGGTGTAATATTTGGTCATGGACCATTATTGGCGGACTGTCCATATAGTTGGGATTATACAAAAATAATCAATAGTTGGGATTATTATCAGCGGACCGTCAATAGTTGGGATTATTAATTTCAATTTTTCCTTTAAAATAAGAGTAAAGCACCATCATCCTAATATCAGATTGTCATATTATGGTAGATCAGCCGTTAAAAAGATGAAAACATGATCTCAATATTAGATACGAATTCAAGATGACAATGCTTATTGTATTTTTACTTCGATTTAGAGAAATTCCTAGGGAGAATTTTTACAAAATTTAAAGACTACTAGGAAAGGTGAACCAAAATATAAAATAAGCAATGGGAGAATAATTTCAATACCCCAACTATGGGAGAAGTGTGAAATGAATACCTCAAAATTGCATGTGCAAAATAAACTCTAGGTAAGCAATTTCACCACCATGATGCACTCGTATTTATTTTTTTCTTTAATAGGTGCAACATGTCGATCTTTATAATATTTGTACATTCTACTCTAAATGCATTTTATTTATTTATTTATTAAAAAAATATACGATAAAAATATGTGATTAATTAATAATATTTCCTAATAGTAAAATACATACACTAATAGTCAAAGCCGTGAATTATTTAATGTAACATTTAAAGGGTTGCAACTAAATAAAAATGAAGGTAATATTAATTTTTTCAAAAATAGAAATTTAGAATGTTAAATGCACCTCCATAAATACTCAGAGTATTTAAGAAAAAAACATATGGTCAATGGGAAGATAAAACTTTTATATAAAGTTTATGATATTTATATTACATACATTTATTCGGAATATTCACCTCACATCTCAACAAAGGTATGGAGTATGATATATTTGAATTCATTTTTCAAACAAAGGGTAAATTTTGTACTCATTTGGTTACGATATACATAGCATTTCACAAACAGTTATAGTTTAAAAAAGACCAGACTTCCCTTGGGCAACCAACATTTTATGCATGTGAATCATGTGATCGATGACTTCTAATATTCAAATTTCATTGCACAACCACACGTTGTATTGTTGTGAAATGACTTTTAAGATTCAAATTTACTTCTCATATACATGCATGTGACATGATGGAGGATTGTTTTTACTCAAATGTCACAAGTTTAAAAACCCCAAATCAGAGTATGTTTAGGGTCTGTTTGCAACCGCTTCTGCTTTTGAAAAAGTGTTTTTCTTAATGAAATGAGGAGAAGTGATTAAATAAAAGTTGATAGTGTTTGGGAAAAAAGTGATTTTGAAAAGTAAAAGTGGGTAGTGTTGGTAAAATAAGTGCTTTTTGTGTAATAGAAAAAAGTAAAAGCATTTTGACGCGGAAGTCGAGAAAAATAAAAGTTGTAGTATTTGGGAAAATAAATGTTTTTTTAAAGCCAAAAGCTGAGAAGTACTTTTTCAAAAGGAGTTGCAAACCAACCCTTAGCATATTTGACGCAATTTTGGGTATAAGTGGTCAAATAGGGAACCGTCGAACATGGTGTAATAGTACATTTTTGTTTTTAACTGGTCTTATTAGTTAATTTTTTCATTAAATACATTACTTTCATGCATCTTTTTCTTTATTTTATTAATTAATATAATATATAAATATATGTTATCCGTAATTCAGCAAATTCAACTAGGGGTGATTCGGTACGGTATACCTTATATTATTTCTCATACCTTTGCCGTACCAAAACTTTCGGTATGCAAAATTTGAATACCTTTACCTTACCAAAGTTTCAGTATACCGCATTTCGGTATACCGAAGTTTCGGTATACCGCATTTCGGTATACCGAAGTTTCGGTTCGGTAACGTTACAATATCGGTAAATTATCGTGCATGTCTCCCAATACAAAAAATTATTATAGACTAACAAAATATACTAAATCATTATTAGTAGCGACATATTAAATCTATTATTAAAATGTTACAAAATACACTTAATAATCTATTGATGTCAATTCAATAGTGAACAATAATTATTATTAGTATATTTAAGCAGTTCAACATGCCACATATTAAAAAGTAACACATTCTCCTAGAATAACTTGAACAATATAGATATAATTAAATCTGTAGTGATCTCTAACAAAAATAAATACAACTATTCAAACAACATGTATATAAAATCTTTTAGTTCTAATATGATATTGTGTATTTAGTCATTTTTATAATTTTTTAAAAATTGAATAAGACTTTCGGACAAAGTTGTGTGCCTCGACTCGCGGAATCTCTATGTAGATACATTTGTCACATAAGTGTATCTCTTTTCACTCGTCAGCTACTTAGCGGCCTGCAGCCATCACGACTTGCAAGCTCTTGGAACAAGATGAACTTGTTTATTGACATTTGTACATTACTCATTAGTCATTAAGGTTAGTGTAGTAGAAGCCTATAAGGTTATAATGGGTTTGAGAAATTGAGCCTTATTTTGGTATTTTTGTATTTGTAACCAACTTAAGTATTAATTTTGGGCTTCAAAATTGTAACAGATTTTTACAATATACTCTGTATTAGAATTAAAAGTAATTGTTGAGTAGGGAGTCAGTACGGTATTATACCGGCATACCGCGGTATTTGAAAACATTTACCGTTACCGTACCGAAATAGATCGGTACGGTATGATACTGTACCGAAAATGAGGGTATACCAATATTTCAGCATTTTCCGGTATTTTTTGGTACGATAAATGGAGTATACCGATTTTTGTATAATCTCAACCATTTAGTTGCTTGAGCCCGTCTTTTATGAAACACGTATTTATTTAGTTTTTTGTGAGTTTTGAAATGAAAAGTATTTCTCAGAATGGGCAATATCAACCAAATCTATATTTAAATTAGAATTAGAATACTCCCATACATCTATATCGTTTTAAAGCGTGTTTCTCTGTATAAAAAGAACATATTTAAAAGCAGATTAAGTCAATTGGAGTGTTATGAAAAAGATTATAAACTTTCATGAGGTAACATCATTGACGTAAAATAAACCTTCAACCCCAATCCCAAAGCGACATTGAAAACTAAAATCATATTCATACTAATTAATTCACATTTTTACATGTTTTGATGAAAGAGTATTAAATTAGATTGTTCACCCAAATAACTATTGAATTCTGTAATGATCTTATATGATCTTATAAGATTATAAACTTTCATGTTTTAATTACTTGTTGTACCCACTATTATATCCACTTTTGTACCTACCATATCTTCATAGACATATTTTTGTCTATGACCGGGATTCATAGACAAAAAGAAAACTCTTCACAGACATGGTGGATACAAAAATGGGTACAATAGTGGGTACAAACAGATTTTTCCTATTTTTTACTGTAATAAAATATTTGTCCCACCTCAGATTCCTCTTATCAAATTGACCGTTTAGTTTAACGACCTCAATCGCCCATCTATTTTACTTTTAAAAAATTGATAGTAATAATCCCAACTAATGACAGTCGCTCATAATAATCTCAACTATCGATTATTTCAGACTAATCGCAACTTTAGGGACCTTTCGCCAATAATGGTTCGACGTGACCGACAATAAATAAATTCCTATAGTTTCTAAAGTGAATGAGAAAAGATATAGCAAGAAATCCCTATAAATAATCCCAACTTTTAATTTTTAACTTAATTTCTATTTAAAATTCACTTGTTATAGCAGGTAATATATGACAATGGACCATGATTGACGGATGATCCATATAGTTAGAATTATACAAAAATAATCAACAGTTGAAATTATTGTTAACGAACTGATAATAATTGAGATTATTATTTTCAATTTTTTCTCCCCATTAATGTGCATAATCACTATAAAACCCATTGAGCAGCAAAAGTTATCGTTAGATTCCAAAGCTAACACACATGGAGAACATAGAGCACAAGCAGATACGCGTAAACGGAATCAATATGCACGTAGCCGAAATAGGCCAGGGTCCGGCTATCCTATTCCTCCACGGCTTCCCGGAGCTCTGGTACACGTGGCGCCACCAGCTGCTCTCCCTCTCCGCCAAGGGCTACCGCGCCATAGCCCCCGACCTTCGCGGCTACGGAGACACTGACGCGCCGTCTTCCGCTTCCAGCTACACCGTTTTCCACATTGTCGGCGACCTAGTCGCCCTGCTCGACTCGTTAGGCCTCGACAAGGTCTTCCTTGTCGGCCATGACTGGGGTGCCTCCATCGCCTGGCACTTCTGCTTGCTTCGCCCTGATAGAATCAAGGCACTCGTCAATTTGAGCGTTGCTTTCAGTCCGAGGAACCCTAAGCTCAAGCCGGTCGAAAGAATGCGCTCAATGTTTGGTGATGATTACTATATTTGCAGATATCAGGTACTTCTGCAAAAGCTGTAAACAGCGATTATTGATTTCTATGCTTTAAATTTATGTTCCTGGAGCCTGGAGGTATGGACTATGGATTCGAACTTTCAAGCATGACTCTCTGTAATAATAATCTTATGATCCAATAGTAGGCTCTATTTGAAAATTTGAAGCTGATTTAACATCTTCATATATCAATTGCTGCAAGGATTTCAAGCTCTTTCCCTTTTCCATTGTTATGCATTTGTAGGAACCTGGAGAAGCAGAGGAGGAATTCGTTCGTGCTGGTACTGATAGAATAATTAGGAAATTCTTATCAAATCGTGATCCAAGTCTGCCTATAGTACCTAAAAGCGTAGGGTTTGGGGGACCACCTGATGAACCCATACAAATGCCTTCTTGGTTATCAGAAGAAGATGTGGACTATTATGTGAGCAAGTTTGACCACACTGGCTTCACTGGTGGATTAAACTACTATAGAGCACTTGACTTGTGAGTTTTACTTTGATTAGCCTTCTCGCTTAACATAAAAAGTTAACTAACCATATACTCAAAGGTTATTTAATGTCTGGTTCCGGTTGTAAATTGTGAAGTGATAAAGTAGGTTGCACTTTTAGGATGAAACTTTAGATAACAAAGTGATAGATGTATCAATTGATTCATTTCTCTTTCAGCCCGCTTGGTAAAGGTCATTTCTCAATATACGGAATTTTTTAATATGCAGACTAGCTATAATGCCAACTAGATGTAGACTAGTATAACTACATATTTGAAATGAAGACTCAAAAATGGAAAATTATTGTAAAAAGTATTTTAATAGAAACAAAAGAAATTGATAGGTAACACTATCCAATCACAGAATTATAACAGAAATCAACAATAGAGAAATAAGAAATCTGTTATTGATATCAAAGGAGATAAACCGTATACAAGTTCCCAAAGAAAGAGATAAAACTCTAACTTCCCAGCCAAGACACTTGTCTAGAAACAGCCTGCCTTCCCACTGCAGTGTTTATTCTATTTATAGTATTCACAACGGAATGGTAGTTATTAGTTTTCAACAAAACAACTAATAACTAACTACTAGTCTATTTTCTAGGCCTTCGTACATAAACTTGCCCATAGAATCTGTCATCTCCGTTTAGACTAGTGGGGTCCCTAACAATACCCCCCCTGAAACACTCAACTTGCCCTCAAGTTGAAAATTAGGGAATTGTTCTTGGATCGTTTGTAATTCCTCCCATGAGTCCTCAAAGTCAGGAAGCTTCTCCCAATGAATAAGGATCTCCTGCTTCCCTTCTTTATTCATCCGGCTGCCTCTTACTTCTGCAGGCTTCACTTGCAACTCACAATCTTCTGTGAGACAGTCTGGGAGGTTCTGATAAGCCACTGTAGGTTTCAGCACCTTCTTAAGCAAAGAAATATGAAATACCGGATGTACTCTACACCCTTCAGGTAGTTGTAGTTTAAAAGCTACAGGATTTATCTGTTCAACAATCTCATAGGGCCCATAAAACCTTGGACTAAGTTTTTGATTGATTCTCTTAGCTAAACTCCTCATCTTGTAGGGTTGTATTTTCAGAAATACTCTATCCCCAACTGCTAGAGTCACCTCCCTTCTGTGCTTAACAGCTTGTTGTTTCATTAAGTTCTGAGCTTTGGCCAAATTTTCTTTTAATTCTTTCAGAACCTGATTCCTTTCAGCTGTTAATTTTGCCACTTCATCTACTGCAGTCAAAGAGACATCACCTCTGATTAGAGTAGGAGGTTCTTGTCCAAACAAAGCCTTATAGGGTGTACACTTCAAAGAACTGTGATAATTTGTGTTAAACCAGTACTCAGCCCATGGTAACCACTTCACCCACTGTTTAGGAGCATTACCAGTCAAACACCTCAGGTAGGTCTCCAAGCACCTGTTTACAACTTCAGTTTGCCCATCACTTTGGGGGTGATATGCCGTACTATACTTCAGTTTGGTACCAGCCAATTTGAATAATTCAGACCAAAATGAACTCAAGAAAATGCTATCTCTATCACTGACAATTGACTTTGGGAACCCATGAATTCTTACAACCTCCTGCACAAACACTTCAGCCACTCCCTTAGCATTAAAAGGATGAGTTAAGGGTATGAAGTGCGCAAACTTAGTCAGTCTATCCACCACAACTAGGATAGTATCCTTGCCCTGAGATTTAGGTAAGCCCCCCACAAAATCCATACTTATATCAGCCCAAACCTGCTCAGGTATTGGTAGTGGTTGCAGCAGCCCTGCAGGTTTCAAAGCTTGGTATTTATTTCTTTGACATACCTCACATCCTTGGACATAGCTTTGAATATCTTTTTTCATACCTATCCAGTAAAACATGCTGGTTATCCTTTTCATTGTCCTAAAATAGCCAGCATGACCTCCTATAGCAGAATCATGATATTCTTGTAAGATTGCACTCTTCCTGTTAGATTCTCTTGGTAACATCAACCTGCCCTTGTAGTAGATTAACCCCCCTTTCACTTTGTAGTCCCCAAACTTGTCTGGCTGTGCTAACACTTTCTGAATTAACTCCCCACATTTTGGATCTGCCACCAATTCTTCCACTAGCCCTTTCCACTCCTGGCAGTATATGGTAGATAAGGCTGAGTAATTACCTTTTCTAGATAAGGCATCTGCTGCTTTGTTCTCAATTCCCGGCTTGTATTTTATAGTAAAGTTGTATCCCATGAGTTTAGATATCCATCTTTGTTGGTCTTCTCCCATAACTTTCTGCTCGGTTAGATGTTTAAGACTTTTCTGATCTGTATGCACTTCAAACACCCTGCCAAGCAAATAAGGCCTCCACCTCTGTATTGCAAAAACAATTGCCATCAATTCCTTCTCGTAGATGGATTTTGTAAGATGTTTAGGTGAAAGCTGTTTACTCATATACGCAATGGGGCCACCTTCCTGCATAAGAACAGCCCCAAGACCCTTCCCTGATGCGTCAGTCTCTATAACAAATAATTTGTTGAAGTCTGGCATCCTGAGAACTGGAACTGAGACCATAGCACTTTTCAGATCATTAAAAGCTTTTGTAGCCACCTCACTCCACTTAAAACAATCTTTCTTTAACAAACAAGTCAGAGGAGCAGCAATACTGCTGTAATTTTTCACAAACCTCCTGTAGTAGCCAGTAAGACCTAGAAATCCCCTGAGTTCCTTCAGATCTTTAGGTGTGTCCCAATTCTTCATAGCTAGGATTTTCTCAGGGTCAGCTGCCACCCCTGATGCAGATATTATATGACCCAAATATCCTAGCTGTTCTTGCCCAAATGAGCATTTCTTGAGGTTCGCCACTAGCTGATTTCTCCTTAGAGCCTCCAGAACCAACCTTAAATGTTGTTTATGATCATCTCTAGTCTGGCTATACACTAGAATGTCGTCAAAGAAGACAAGAGCAAATCTTCTTAGAAATGGCCTCAATACATCATTCATGAGTGACTGGAATGTTGAAGGAGCGTTAGTCAGCCCAAAAGGCATAACTAAATATTCGTAATGACCCTCATGGGTCCTGAAGGCTGTTTTATGGATATCACTGGTTCTCATCCTTATCTGATGGTAACCTGACTTGAGATCCAATTTAGAAAAAATCCTGGCACCACCCAACTCATCCAGTAATTCCTCAATGACGGGAATAGGGAACTTATCAGGTATAGTAACCTTATTTAGCGCCCTATAGTCTCCACAGAACCTCCATCCTCCATCCTTTTTCTTAGCCAGTAGGATGGGACTACTATAAGGGCTGTTACTATGCCTAATAATCCCAGATTTCAGCATTTCATCAACAATTTTCTCTATTTCATTTTTCTGATCAAAGGAATATCTGTAGGGTCTGAGGTTTGGAATACTAGCACCCTCCTTTATATTTATAGCATGGTCACATTTTCTTTCAGGTGGAAACTTGAGTGTAGATGAAAAAACTTCAGAAAATTCAGCTATTACCTGCTGCCATATTTCTTCCTTCTCCTTCTGTATGTCTTGATTCTGATTCTTTACTTCGCATGCTAGAAGATATCCTCCACCATACTGTTGTATAATGTGGGCCATAGATTTCACAGATACCTCCATCTGATTTGAATTTGTGTCTCCTCTGATTATGTATTTTGCTTCTTGCTGCTTCCATTTAATGATCTGATTTCTGAAGTTCACCTTCATATTTCCTAGCTCAGTCAGCCATTGCATCCCCAGTACTACATCAGTCCCACCTAATTTTAACAGATAATAGGTCTGCAAAATGGTTACCCCTTGAATCAACAACTCCACCACATTGCATCTTCCCCAGTTAGGTATACAGTCTCCATTCCCAATCTGTACCCTATATCCTTGAATAGGATCATAAGGAATTTTCCATTCCTCCACTAACTCCTGAGATAAGAAGTTGTGAGTTGCCCCACTGTCAATCAGAATGTTCACCCATCTCTCACCTCCAGGCCATTTCATTCTTCCCTTAACCTTGAATGTCTTCATGGAGGGTATTCCTTCTCTACTTAGTATGGAAAGCTGCATGGTTTTGTGGTCCAAGTGAACTGAATTTGTTGTCTTATCCTCTTCAGAACCTGCAGATTCAAAGTCAGAAGCCTCTTCTCCTTCAGAGTGTTCTACCAAGATCATCTTGAAATTCTTCATTTTACATACATGGCCCCTTCCCCAATTATCTCCGCACTTGAAACACAGCCCTTTTTTACTTCTATCAATCAGCTCTTCTTGAGATAGTCTAGGGCCACTCCTTCTGATAGGAATATCTTTAACCTCCTGATTCATCTTGTTATCATTCACCACCTTAGTAGCATCATTAGTTCTGCCCTGGTAACTTTTCCATTTACTACTTTCATTCCAGTTTTGACTTCTGCTTTGTATCTTCTTCTTCCCTTCATCCTTCATCTTCATCAAACTGATTTCATTGTTCTTATTTTCTATCAAGGTAGCGGTATCCATGACTCTTGCCAAGGTTGGTGTAGAATGCAACTTCAATTCAGCTTTCACATCTCTTTTTAGCCCATTCAAAAACACTCCTCTCAATACCTCATCAGTCAGGTGTCCTTGAGATGCCATAGCTGCTTCAAACATAGCCCTGTACTCCTTCACGGTTCCTTTTTGCTTCATACTAAACAGTGGTCCCAGAGGATTTTCTACCAAATCTGGCTGAAATCGTTTGGTCATATCCTTGGTAAAGTTCTCCCAGGTCTGATGCCTCGCCTGTCCTTCCCACCACTGAAACCAGCTAAGGGCCTGGTCTTCTAGGGCAACCACCGCCACATCGATCTTATGTTCTTCCTCGGTTCTATTTAATCGGAAATATCTATTCATCCTTACCAGCCAACCGTACACATCTTCTCCGTTAAAAATTGGTAAATCCAATTTCCTCCCAACCGGATAGTGATAGCGATGATTCCTGTCAGGTTCGCGATGATGATGCGATGTAGAATGGACCGATTGATTGTCTGAATCTTCTGAGCTACCGCTGTCCTTCGTGTGTTTATGCCTCGGTGAGCGATGCGATGAAGTCGAATGATGAGAACGACTCCTCGATCGATCAGAATTTCTCTTCTGTAATTCCGCAAATCCCGCTTGCATCGCCGCCATACTGGCTTGCATTTCTCTCATACTCCGTTCCAATCCTTCTTGCAATTCCCGCTGACTCTTCTCCAATTCAGTGACTCGTCCTTCCATCTTCGCACGAGTGATTCTCATCCAACGGATCTACCGCTCTGATACCAAATGATAGGTAACACTATCCAATCACAGAATTATAACAGAAATCAACAATAGAGAAATAAGAAATCTGTTATTGATATCAAAGGAGATAAACCGTATACAAGTTCCCAAAGAAAGAGATAAAACTCTAACTTCCCAGCCAAGACACTTGTCTAGAAACAGCCTGCCTTCCCACTGCAGTGTTTATTCTATTTATAGTATTCACAACGGAATGGTAGTTATTAGTTTTCAACAAAACAACTAATAACTAACTACTAGTCTATTTTCTAGGCCTTCTTACATAAACTTGCCCATAGAATCTGTCATCTCCGTTTAGACTAGTGGGGTCCCTAACAGAAATTTTGAATAATGGGATAATAAAGTTGAAATTCACGGTAAATTAAAGAGATTGAATTGACAAATGCTACAATAGTAGTGTTTCAAATCAATTGATTAGTTTTAAATTCAGTCAATTTTAGCTCTTCATCCAAACAAGGCTACATGTGAATTATTTTTCGGGATTGATAAATTTCATCTCAAATTGAGCAGAAATGGTAATATAAACCCAGATTATATTCACAGCATTGGTTTATTTTGTTGGCAAATGACATGAGAATGGCCCTCGTTTGATCATACATGTTTTTTGGACAAAAGTGTTCTGTTTTGTGGAATAAAAGATGATAAACCACTACTTATCCCAGATGTAATGTTCTATTGTTTTTAAACTAATGGATGCAGAAATTGGGAGCTGATGGCACCATGGACAGGGGTACAGATAAAGGTTCCTGTTAAATTTGTGGTCGGAGATCTTGACGTCACCTATAACACTCCTGGTGTGAAGGACTACATCCACAATGGTGGGTTCAAACGAGACGTTCCATTTCTGCAGGAGGTGGTTATAATGGAAGGGGTGGCACACTTTTGCAACGAGGAAAAACCAGAAGATATTAGTCTGCACATATATGACTTTATTCAGAAGTTCCCCTAACTCATTGCTTGAGTGTGTCGAAGTCCCACGAATATAAATATAATTGTAATTGTTCCTATATAACATGAATTATGTATAACTTGCTAGCTATTGTATGTAATATTTAGTGAAATAAAATAAAATACATGTATGTTAAATGTTAAGGTGAAATAAAAGAAAGTTAAATTGTATGTTGATGCACATTTTTCTACTAAGGAGAGGCTTGGGATTCTCCTTTGTCCTGACCCTCCATTTGCACTTAAATTACCTGCATTTCTCATTTCCATTACAATTCCAGCATTTATTTTAATTTTCACCTCCCACACCATAATTGAGAATTGAGAAAGAAGAAAAAAATGGCAGCCAGATTTTTCTGTTTCCTCCTTCCTATCTTGTCCCTAACCTTCAATGTTCTCTTGCAACTTGCGGATGCTGGAGCACAGGTGGACCCCAATCTCATTTCCCAGGCATGCGACTACGCTAAAGCTGGGAAGAGCTGTGTGGTTTGGCTGCAAGACAACGAGAACGATGCTGAGCTATCCGGCATTAACAAATCTGATCTAAACAGCATAGCCTTCTTCGCGCTCAAGAAGATCGAGAAAGAGGCGGTCACGGTGGCGGAAGCGGTGTCGATGAAGCTCTCCAGCGGCGCCACCGAGGATTTGTCACCCGCCACCCAGCAGGGACTCTCCGAGTGCAAAGATCATTACATCCCGGCCGTCGATTTGATTGAAGAAGCCGTCGACTCCGTGGCCAACAAAGCGTACCCCGACGCAATGAAGTTCCTTAAAGCCTCCACCCTCGACCTCACCGCCTGCCGGAAGAGCCTCGCCAAGCTGCACATGGACGGGAAGGAGGCGAAGGCCGACGTCCACGCCACCATGGCAATCAACCACCGTGATGCTCTTGCGTCACATGTCGAGATGGCTCAGAGTATCCTTGAATTCGCTGCCTCCGGTGGCGCTGCTGCCTCCGTTGCTGCTCCGCCATCGTGAATCTTAATACATGGGACAATAAAATATCTCTCAACTCTCTTTCATTACAATTAAAAAAATGTGAATTTACATTAAATATACCTTCATATTCAAACAATTGGGAGATCTATATGTTCTCTAATATAGTTAAATGGTATATACAGTCTCTAATATGTAATTCAAGAACATGTTTGTTACAAATTTACAATTTATTTTGTTTGAATGATAACAAAACATTGAAGGTATTTTTGTTTTCTGCCATATGATTTTGGAAATACATCTAACTTCTCCTTGAAAATAAACCAGCATATAGTGAGGCCGATAACAACTTTAGGGTTCATTGGCAATGATGTTTTCTTTTGGAGTGTTTTCAGCTTTAGACCAGATCAGACTTAAGCATACTAGACCAGACTTTCATAGTTATAAAATACACAGCGGCTAGACATTTACCAAACCAGACTCAAACAGACTAGACCATCAAATTTTAGTCCAAAAGAAAACATCTTAAATGTGCATATAAATTAAAAGTTTATGTTTATATTTTGGAAACTAGAACTAGTAATAAGACTGAAACTAATGCATAAAACGAGATCTTAGAATGATAGCTTTTGCTTACCAACAGCACTAACGTACACTACACCACGAGACAGTGGTATTGCCGATGGGGTTGGAGCCGTGTTGTTGGGTTTTGATTTTGCTGCAATGGTTGTATTTATGTCACTATGAATGATGATTTTGTGCTTTTATTACACTTTTTCAACGGTAAGAGTCACAAATTAGACAGTGAAGTGGATGAAAAACCAGGGTGACAACTTCGGTACCTTTCTAAAAACAGAGGTACCGTACCTAGCATTCATTTGATTGGACCACATCACTTTATCAATTTTAATTTAGATTTAAATAATTCAACTGCTACCTTTTCATTGGTCCATGTGGACAAAGGTACGGTATCTTATGGTTCATATAGAACCAGTCATTGACGGAGTGACAACTATGCCGAAGTTACTTTCAATTCCGAATGTGTCTCAAGGCACGATGGATGTGTCACCATCCCGTAAGGCGGCGGCATGGCAACTTGCCCTGGGGATGATCACAAGCGGCAAGAACTCCTTTTGAGCGGGTGCCCACAAAACATATGAACTTCGAATTTAAGAGCTAAAGTGTCATTGATATGCACTATAGTAAAAAAACTTTCAATGACATCCAAATTTGTTAACATATCTCAAATTCCCATTTACTCCTTGATTGAGAGGTTCCCTAGATTCATTAACATAAGAGCAAAAACTTTATTCCCTATGTCTTCAAGAATAATTTTGTTGACCTCTACTGAACAAGCAGAAGTTATCTCCTTTTGGATTTTTGGAGATGTCATTAAATTATTTCCAAAAGCATTCTCATTCATTTTTTGGCAACAACTTTACTTCGTAGGGAATACCATTGAATTAATCCAAGAAATTTGTCTGTTGATGTTTATTCCCTTTAACCCGTAGACCCAACACATAACCTAAGGGCTTCGAGCGGTGAGTGTATGTGAATATATGGATATAACAAGTAAGATGAGCTTAGAGATGTATGCAATAGTGGGCCCAGTATTATAAAGTGATAATAAAGCCTCGTTACACTGCACTAATGCTATTGGCCAGTGGCCGTTTGTCTGACTACTCAACAGAAGAGCTGTGAACACTGTTAAGAGCTACTAGAATGCTAGAATGTTAAAGCGGATAAGTTGGCAACCCTTTACAATGAAATAAATGCTACTGCCTCCGTCCCTTTTATATTGGGATGGAAGAAGGTGACACAGTTATTAAGAAAAGTGGGTTTGTGTAATGGATATTGATTGATAAAGTAAGAATAAAGTAAGAATGATTTAGAGCCACACAAACTTTACCAAATATGGTATGAGACAATTTTAGTGGGACTTCCCGAAAAGGTAAAACGGGACAATATAAGGGGGACGGAGTGAGTACTATTTACACTGCCAAGGGGCAGTTGAATATGCTGATGTGGAGGGCTGTGGATGACTGAGCCTGAACCACCAGATCTCCAGCATTAAATACGCTTCCCGTCAGAATCTTGATTTCCCGCCCAATCCTTGGAGACGAGCGTCCCCGTAAACCTTGGATCGATTCTTGGGGATGCCGCCAAGGGAGAGATGTCATGCGCCTTCTGGTCGTTAGCGTAGGAGTAAGTTTGGCTAGCCTTGGGCTAGAATGCATTTGGCTGAGGCTTCTGGGAGGGATGTAAGGACAACCGTTGTTGGTCCATGGAGACGTTCATCTGCACCCGATACCTTTGTTGGGCTTAGACGTTCGTCCATGGATGGGTTAGATGGGTCGATCCTCTAATTGAGCCATTAACCAAACATTGTCTTTATTCAAAGAATTTGAAGACTCATCATGACCATGAAATGGCAAATCTTGTTTCAAAAGAAGACGTGTTACATCCAATATTATTGTTAAACGAGTTTGATATGAAACTTCTACTTCACGTCCTTTCCCTTGCAAAAAATGAAATTTGGACTTTTTTGTTGAGTTCAAGGGGAAAATTGAAGGTTTTTAGAATTTAAGGTATGAATTTAAGGTACGAAAATGTGACCTTATTTAACCTTTTAGCCTTATTTTAGTTTGTACTCCGTATTTTTCTTTTTTCTAATTTCGTTACATTGAGAGCCAACCAGTAAACGCGTGCAACTTGTACTGCTTTACAGTAAGATAGGTTGCATTTATGAAATCCGAGTCCAATCTACCGGCAAATGGGTGGAACCTTAATGGCAGAAATAGTGGAAATTAGAAAGTATGGGACTATAAATAAAACCGTTCCTTCCTCTTTGCTTCCTCCCCGGATGCTTGGCAATGAGTTAAATGTCAACGAAGCAAACAAAGATGCATAACCTCAGGCAGAAAGCAACGCTCTTAGGTTCTTTCCTTCTGGTCTTTCTCCCAACATTATTGTCGGCGACAACCTTAGTGGAGAAGACCACTCAGAACCTTCACCTCCAAGCGGCCAACTCAGCATGCGAAGGCACATTGTACCCAGACCTCTGCAGCTCCACCTTGACCAAAGCGCTGCCCAACCTCCACAACAGAACCATCCCGGAAATCATCGCCGCCACCGTCAATGTCACCATGTCTGAGGTCCAAGCCTCCGCCACCAATTGCTCCAACATTATGAAGAAGGTATGTTAAGATTTATCAAACACATAGCCCCCTTTTGAGTCAATTTGATATGGGAAGTCAAATTATTAGGAGTCATTACTATCATTATAACTGAAATATGAGTCATTAATGATAGTGGATATTGTCTTGTTGAATGTCTTGTACTACAATTATTCGGCAGTAATAGCGAGAATATGACAGCAAATGCCGCAATGTAACTCCTATTTCGAGAAGAAAAACATAACAGTTATATTTACAATTCCAAAACCAAATTACTTCTATTTTTGAAAATCTCCCAATTTTATATGAGACTCCCAACCATTGTTTTAAAATTGAGTTTTGCTGCATGTATACACCGGGTAACACACTGGCTTACATACCTAAGTGTAATTGTCTGTACACAAACAATTACGCTTGGATTTTAGTAAAGCGAATAGTTTGTGACCCCAAAATATGAATTGTGTAGGCATAGACAATTTGGGATCAAAACACTTCCCTTTACTAAACTTAAGCGTAATTATATATGCACAAACAATTACACTTGCATGTGTAAGCCACCGTGTAACCTGGTATGTATACGAAGCAAAACTTTTTAAAATTTGGCCCAGTCGATCTAATTAATGAGCGTCTGAACACTAGATGTTACATAATTATAGAAAAATAATCGATCTAGGGGACCAGAAACTAAAATTAGTTGGTCAACCACCCGATCAAAGATCTAAATTGTGGAAAAAAACATACAACCATGCTTGGTGTATCCAATTTGTACCCCAATGTGTATCCCAACAAGGGGATGTGTACAAATTGGGATACAAATTGAAGTACTTATATCATTTTAGAAAAACATGACAATCATATTTTAAAATTGCAAAACTTTTCATCAAATTTTGAGAAATCTACCTAAAAATATCCAATAGTAGTACTTCCTCCTTTCGGAAATAGCTGCAACATGGAGTTCGGGCGCAGAGATTAAGAAACGCTCTGCCAAGATGTGTTTTTTTTATTCTATCCTTGTTAAAAGCTCAAAAGCAAAAAGTGCTACAGTGCTCTGACAATGGATAAATCCCAAGATACATACACATACAGAGTAAATCTTACCAAGACCAAAGAGGCAGAAGCCATTTGAATGCGAAGAACATACCGATGAATGAAAAATTAAATTATCACCAAATAATACTCCGTAAAATACAAATTGATTTTCTAATACACATAATTAAGATTTAAAATACTTCTTGTGCGGTACTCTTTAACCGCAAAATTTCTTTGACCTTAAAATCTGGAAAAAATATCATCGCAAAGACATCCTTAATTAATGGTGAACTAGACGGTCATATTTCGAGGGAGACCAGGCGGAACAAAAAGATCAGCCTCTTCGTCATTCAAATCTTGAGGTCGGACCTCTGTTTTTCAGGGAGGAAAGAAAAAACTAGATAAATGGTCTAGGAAGAAAGGACATAATGAGCGGAAAAAAGAGACTGTGATAACACTGATAGAAGAAAGATTATTAAGAGAGCTGGCTAAGTTAAAGTGAAAAAGATAGATACTCTCTATCCATGAGTATAAATTACTTCATACTGTAATTCGAAATGTGAATCTAAGTTAGTAAAGAAGACAGAGAGATGGTAAGTGGTGACTGGTGTGGTGGGTAGGTAAACCAAGGGTATTGAAGTCATTTTGCACGTTACTTTTTACCCAAAAAGAAAAGGTTGCAACTAATTTAAAACAGACCAAAAAGGAAAGTGTTGCGATTATTTAAGAATGGAGGAAATATATTGTATTTATCCGAATTTATTATGTGTGGATATCAGCTGCCTCAATTGGGCATACTGGAGAAGCGGGCCCTGGACGATTGCTTGGAATTACTGTCTGGCACTCGGGAAGAGCTAAAAAAGGCCATATCCGATCTCGTCAAAAACGACGCCGCTTCATCAAAACACTTCACCGACTTGCAGACGCTCTTTAGCGCCGCCATGACCAACCAGGCCACGTGTCTCGACGGCTTCGCCTACAGCAAGAGAAACGTCCGCCGTATCATCGAGAAGAGACTCCGTGAAATCGCCCGCCACGTCAGCAACTCCCTCGCGATGCTCAAGAAG